TTTCAGTGACTGAAGCTGTTTGTTTCCTTCTTTAACGGGACGATATGAACACATCTGACTGTACGTATGAATCACAAATACGGGGACGGTTTGTAGTTTTACTGTGTTTCACTATTTATTTATTTCTTATTGTGTCAAATATTGCTATTTGATCAAAATGTGATTAATTAATTACAACACCTCTAATCAATTAGATTAATTTTGTTAATCGTGTCCCACCACCACTAAAAATGTTCAATTTGTGGCTCATTCTTTAAACAAATATCACAGTTTTAAGCTGAGATTTGGTAAATTTTCCCAAAGGACCAGCTCCTCACAGATGAGTAGTTCAAGGACCATCAGAAAGTTTAGTTGTTTTCTTCCCTGGCTGATCAGTGGTGGTACTTTAGTGTTTGTTTCAAACCTGCAGTTGATTGAATGAAACAGAAACCAGTCACCTGAACCGTGAGAGAAAAAAGCCAACGTCCCATCAGCCAAACCGGCGACGACCTGGTTCTGGGAAAACCTGCGAGAAGAAGAATCCACACAAAGATTTAGCTCACGGAAAAAGACGTGAAGATGCTTCAGGCTGCAAGAAAAAAGAAAGAAGAATCTTGAGGACTAATCTACAGGAGCAGAACCTCGTTCACTCTCATTTCCACCAACGCTGCCAGAAGTCCAGGAGCTTCATTCGACTCAAATCTCAGTTTTGCTCAGAAGAAGTTCTCCAGTTCCAACCAGTTTTAACATCACATCAGACCGGTCTCAGCTTCCCTCCACTGGCTCCCCGTCCGGTTTTAATATTTGCTGATCACTTTTAAAGCTCGCCAGCGCCTGCTGACCCCTGATGATCCACCTCAGACCTTCAGGTGGATCCCTGCTGGTCGCTCCAGAGTCGAGGCTTGAATCTAAGGGAGCTTTCTCCATCAGGACGCCTCGACTTTGGAACGACCTGCCTGAGGAGGGGAAGTCTTCTAAATCTTAAAACCCACTTTTATAGACTTGCGTTTATGTGAAGTTCACATTTAGCTTCCAGCTTATATGCACCTTATTGTCTATTTATTGTTTACATTCTATGTTTAGTGTCTTTATCCTGTTTACAGCTATATTCTATTTTTAGA